ATAGTGTGGGGAAGAATAGGTAGTTCTCAGAACATCAAGCCCAGCAGATAGTGATCAGCCCACTGCCTTTCAGCCATGCTGACTATGTTTCCTCACAGGCAAGGCCCATTGATTTCAATAGGTCTTATTTCCAGGTTCTTGCAATGAGGTGCCACTTAACTCTACAGCTCTCCTGTGCACAATCAGCACCCAAGAACACAATGAGTGCTGAGACTTTGGGAGGAAGCTAATGAGGATTTTGCGATTCTGATAAAAGAATACCCAAGGACTGCTCAATTTATACAGAGAGATTTCAAAGTAAAATAGAAGCAGAAGGATTCTGGGCTGGAATTCATTAACAATGCAGTCATGTTTCTTGGCGCTCAAAGGAGGTTGACAAGCATTTATTTTACTCAAACATGTCTCCTATTTATTTAGGTCTCCTATGAATAATGGCTTGGGTCAAATGACACCCTGGCATGAGCAGAAGCCACATCAGCTCACACAAGGGTGGTCTCCTATTTCCAGAGTCCCATCTGCCCCAGCAGCAGTCCCCTGTGCAGCCCACATGCTATTCTGGAAGGTCCACACTGATGAGCCCTACATGAAGAGCAAGGGTTGTAATGGGGAGGAGATCTAAGGAAGTTTCAGGAGTGGAACTCTGATCATAGTTCTCTGCATTCAGGCCAATATGTTTCGTATACTAGTAAATGACTTTATTGAGCTCTTCCCTCATTGTTTTGGTTTTCTGCAGGTGAGCCTGTGCCTGTTATCAGGTCATTCGTGCAGTCTGAGGAAGAAGGATGTTGAATATAAATGCTAAATGCACATGCTTAAACATACCAATTAGCGCTGTCCTAGCACTATTCCCTGCCCCCTCCTCACCATCCTTGTTAGCTTCTGTAGCAGCCTTCCCCACAGTGGTGTCCTCCAGATGTCATGGACTCCAGATCCCTTCAGTGCTAATCTGCATGAGCAATGGTCAAGAGTGATGGGAGTTGCAGTCCAAACAGCTGAAGGGTGCCAGCTTGGGGAAAGCTTTTCTGTGGTCTAACCCACTTCCTCTTCTTGGATTTCTGCATGCTGATTTAAGGCTTATTTTTCCCTATGAGGTGCATTTATGCAACAACCACCTCGCACTTAGAGAGGTTTTATTGTGATTCTGTAAGAGATTCAGTTTCCCAATCCCTCTCTCTTCTCCTTTCTAAAAGATTTTTATTAAACACACATCTCTTTTTACCACATTATTTCTTGACAAGGATTTTGCTGTAATATATGACTGCATTCTTGTTAATGTAAGACCTAATTAAACGTCAAAAATAATAGTGTGCTGCATTAATTACTTCATGAGCTCTAAAAGCATAATTGATGGAACATTAAAGTAAAATAATTCGGCTACACCCATACAGTCCCTGAAGGTAAAAGAGCTGGAAAGAAAAAAATGCTCAGAACATCCATTGTGACAGCTGGAAATAAAACATCTGTACACAACCAGAGTGGACATCTCTTCACTGGAAACAGTCAAGACTTTCAGCCCATCAACCCCAAGCTTTAAGCAGGGCCAACCCAAACCCACAAGTGAAATGCACAGTTGCTCCAGGCATTGAGAATTTGGAGGCTGCTGCATGCTAATACAGTATTTCATTCCTCAACTAGTACGGCTGCTACATCTAGCCAAGGATTACAATTACAGAGAGAGCTCTCAGCAAAACTACAAAAAAAATGGAATGTGGGAATCCAGGACAATCTGCTTGAAAGCATGATTTGGATACATCAGTGGGACACAGCATTTTTAGATAATGGGGATCATGTTGTTATTGTGTGGCAAATGTTATTGTACCAGCAGAGCGTCTGCTGCCTAAACAGAGCATAGCCTGCAAGCAAGAAAGGGTTGTGGCGCACAGCATCTCCAAATGTCTCGGGGCCTGTACACAGTGCGCATGGCATGTGAAGATGCAGTATGTTCCCCCATAATGCGAGTCACTGGCCCTACAGGGTGGGCTGTGCCACGAAAGCACTCCTTCCCACTTCTTATTTTTCTGTGCCAAGGAAGCAGAGGGACCAAATAATGGGAACTGTCATTTATATATATTCTTCACCTGTTCATCCCATTCTTGAGGTATGAGATGAGGATGATAAAATGAATTCTTCCCCTGCTTCCCCGAATTCTCTGGACTCCACCTACCTCTGTGAGATCAATTTGTCAGGTGTAATACTGTCAATTGCTAGTTGAATTCCCACAAGATGTGCATGCGTGCACATACAGAATGGTAAAGGAGGAGTCATAAGCATGGATTTGCATGCCAAATAAAATTTTACAAACTGGAACTAGTTTGCCTTGATCATGTGGATTAACTAAGGGTACAGGCCGATGAATGTTTAGACAGACTAAATCCAACAACTCCCAGCAGGTCACAGCAGCCATTTCAGGCTAGAACATGTTAGGAGTTGTAAGACTTCTTCCACTGTAAATATGCTTTGCACCCTCATAAGGATATCAGCTGAAGGACTGGAACAGCTGTATACATGATAAAAGCCAAAACACGAACACTGCAGACTTCAGGCAAAGGGAGTTTGCCCTGTGCAATGGGACTTTCCCACCATTCCCTGTACTGAACCCTTCCCAGATGGGCACAGCTGGTCCTGCATCCATCCATGGCATATTTGGAAGTGCATGGGAGGCTTCAATGGGGAGAAGAAATCCCTTTCACTAGCAGAGCCCACTGAATACAGACCCTACATTTATTACCTAGGGAAGTTGTGGGCTCTCCCTCACCGGGGTCATTCAAAAAGTGTTTGTGACAGTCATAAACTTGGGACGGTGTAACTTAGTGTCCTGCAATAGCAAGGGGTTGGACCCAACAGTCTTCCAGCCCCTTCCAACTGTACTACTCTATGATTCTAAGAAAAGTTCAATAAGAAAACAAGGAATAGGTAAATGCAGCTAGCTTGCAATTAAAATTTAAGTTAAATCTAATGAAATAGCAATGACTACAAAGCATTTCCTAGTTTTTACTGTGGTATTTTGCAGTGTGAGTCCACAGTTGCTAAGATAAAAGGTTTCACCTCTTATCCCTAAAATTTCTGCTATGATAGCTGTCCAAATGACCAAGTGTCATTCCTCCAGCTACAGTAAGCAAGATTCCTTATCTGGACTTTCCTGAAGTTATTTCAGACAATTCACACTGGCATTTATCAACTGGCTTTACCAAGTGATTGTTTATAATGTTGTATCAGTATTGATTTCTAAGATTAACTTCTGTTTGCAAGTTTAGGAAATATAAGAAATTGCTTTCTATCGATAATAATTGATCTGTGAGAGCCATTTTTCATCCAGCCCATGTACCATAACAGCAAAAATTCTCATGTGATACATATAGATGTATTTATGAATTAGTACCAGTACCTTCAGATATGAGCACATTGGGAATAACTTTTGATTTTGCAAAGCAATTGCCTTAAAAGTAAGTGTGATGTATTGTACTGCCTTTCAATACTACATTCTTTTCCTTTTATGATACAATTTAATAGCGTACAATCTGAATGTAAGGGCCTGTATAGGAGCTTAGGAGTTTCATGGGGGGGCAGTTTGTTACAATGAGTGCTTTGGTGCTGCTGCTGTTTAGAGTTCAAAGCAGTGATGTGTGAGGAGTTCAGTTTGGGGGTAGGAATGTGTCAGATTTTCTCTGCTTGGCTCCCCAGATTCTATCCTGCTTTCTCTTTGCTCCCAGTTGGCCTCACTGGGAGCGTTCATGTGGGAAAATGGCAGGAAATGAGTCCAAACATGTGGAATATGCTCCTCAGGGAGGTTTACCTGGTGCTGTTGCTGCTCTCTTTTCAGCACAAGGCAAAGACCTTTTTATTTTCCAGGTGTTATTGTAGCTAAATTGGTTGTTAACATTGCTTTTATTTCTGATTTGTTCCATGCCTTGCTTTTATCTTTGTTCGCCATCAACTGCCAGATTTTTGTTTTTAGTTGTTTCATATTGTTACTTGTTTTGTTGGTGTACTGTTGTTTCTCTTGTATGTCATTGTAAACTACCCAGACAGCCCTCTGGGCTATGGGGTGGTATATAAATGTTAAGATATGAATAAAATAATAAATGAGCAAGCCCACAAGACCAGCTTGCTCACACACTGCCCACCACTTGTGTGTTCACTGTGCACTCTGAATTCTGTTGCCACACACATGCCTTGTAGGTTTTGCGTACTTCACACAAGAACCATTCAGCTCAAAGAAGGGGTCCAGTAGCGCTCCCAAGTGTTCACAGAGTTGATCTTGGCTTGGCTCACTTCCTAGGCCAAGACTGACTGCAAGAAAGAAGTCAGGCCAACGCAAGAGAGCCAGATTCTATCTGATCTTTGCGCCCCTAGTTCAGAGCTCCCCATTCCCAAAGAAATGTCAAGAAAGCAGTGGGGAGGAAAGAGAGACAGTCAAGCATCTAGAACTACGTATGCCAGAAGCATTTGGTCTTTGATCAACTCTACAGAAGGAAAAATCTGAAAGCACCAAGTAAAACTTTATAGAAGCAGATAGTTATAATTAGATGCTTCACTACTGGATGTACCATATACGCCCCATGGTTCCTATATATTTTTATATGCCTTATGGCCCTTTTAATTCCAGGCACATTCTGTCCAGCAAGCAAATTTCAGGCAGCTGGTATGTGTAGACAGCATACACTGTATACTACCTCTCTGTATCTTGGACCAAAGGGCACAAATGCATTGTCCTCAACAGCCCCTTGTAAAAGCTGCTTGGCCTCTTGGTAAAATGTCACACTTGTCACAAACACTGCAACAAGCTATAAACAGATGAAACAGGAGCAAAATCAAATGTTGTGCAAAGGCAAATAATCACAATAGCAGTTGAGTGTCATTTAGCAAATGGATTGCTAGAGAAAGCAAGGCACTTAGCCTGATCATGGAACGCTGCATTACCCCCAGCCTGAATGTTTTTATGGAGTGAGAAGACGACGACTTGCATCTCAGCTTCCTGTAGTTCACTATGCAGCACTTACGTTTCTCGGGTGTCACTGTTGGCAGCGGTTCAGGGTGCCTCTTTAGCTCTGGAAGAATCAGATGGTCTTCTCCTTCGCAGCAGGACAGCATCACATGGTTGCAGGGGTAGCCAAGGTTTGGGTTGGACTCACAGCTTTGTCCCTCGCTCTTTACTCGCAGGCCCAGGGAGCAGCAGTCGCAACATTGCTGTAAGAGGAAGGCTTTTTAGCAACGCAGCAATGGCTAGAAGATGGCTGCAGTTCAGCAAAATGCATGCGATGGAGGGCTGCGGATTAAAGCACTGCTGATGTGTGCACGCATTGTACACGCTCTCGCCCAATGCATGCATACACACACACACACACACACACACACTTGTACATGCTTATCTCAGTGGAGGGGCTGTCCTTGCCATTAAAGTATTCCTACGTCCTTCTCTCCCACCACCTCACACCTTATTTCATGCATATAGGGAAAACTGCAAATATATTTAACGTTAATTTATATGGGAGGAAACCAAAGAACTTACTTAAGATGAGGTCAGATCTGTTGGCTTGCACCTAATTTGTGATTCAAGTGCTTATTCCTAGTTATATTTTTCAGTGGATATGCAGGAGAACTCCTTCCTAAGAGAGATTGATCTCACCCCGCCCCCAAATTAATGGCTTTCCTCCAAATAGCTAAAATCTGGAAAAAACGGCACAAAGGAGAGAAGGACCTTGCTAACTGAGAAGCATGCATTTTACCAGTGTAGCCAAGGAAGGATAATACAAATGCAGTATATTCCAGGCAATTTCTCAAGTAGAAGCATTAAACCAAGGAGAAATTATGTATTCATTTCAGCTTTTAAATTCCATACTCCCATACAAAGATCAGGGTGTCTTATAAGGTTCTCTCCCCCACTCATGTTATCCTCACAACAACCCTGTGGAGTAGGCTAGGATGAGAAAGGATGCCTGGACTAAGTTCAAGTAGCAAGTTTCATTGCTCAGGGTGGCTTTGAACCTGGTTCTCTATGAGCTCTCTTAGTTTAGGACTCTCGCCATCCAACCGTGTTCGCGCCAGATGTTTTGGTCATTGTTTTGCATTGCCCCAACGAGCAAGGCTAGAGGTCAAGAATCACAGCAGCAAGAGGCCACCAAGTTCAGGAAGACTGCTCTAACTAGTAGGCTATGCTGGGAAGAGCAAGGTATTGCCTAGAGCAGGACCCATCAGTTTCAAACTCTGCAACTGGACCAGCAGGCCACATTTCCCCTTGGCTTCAAAATACTCTTTCTGGTCCTGTTATGTAATATTCTCTAGAACTGAGGACATCTCTCTAATGCCAGCCACACAAATCTAAATGCTACGAGAAACGTACGAGGTACATTTTTGATGGTGAAGAGCGCAGCATCGAACATTATTTATGAACAGTGTCGCTAGGACAACTTCAGTGCTGCTGCTGCTTGACATCAATGCACTGAAAGCTTCACAGCATTAATAGGCAATCCTCTAACTTCTGAGGCATTTAAAATACAAACAACATAAAATGTTCCTTGTTCACTCATCGGGGATTTTGTGTCTGATTACTGATGCAAGTAGAAGTGTGTGCATAGAGTGGCATCCATGGCAGAGAAATGACTTCTAACACATCTCTTATTATGGCATTTTTACTCGTTTTCAGAAATACTGAAATACTGCTTTGAAAATTAAGTTTTTCCATGGGAAAAGCAGCTGTATTCGCCAATTAAAACCTGGGATGCACCATGAATGACCTTACATCTTTCATACTGACAAAAGTATTTGTAAGATGTTTTAACATTACTAGACCAGGCAGAACTAATACATTTCCTGCTGAAGCAATGGAAAGTACCAGAGGATCAAATGGCTGTGTAAACTGTGATCAGTGTTTCAGTGTGGCTACAATCTGGAGGTGAACACTTAAAAATATTGAGTTGGATCCTGTACTGGCAGATACTGGCCATGCTCCATTGAATGTATATATTTTTGCCAGGCAAGAATTCATTCCTTAATTTAGCACCAAAACATAGGCAGAGTGACAATGTTGGGGTGGAGGGCGGGAGCACAAGTTTCTTTGGATTCCCAGATCTAAGTTGCAAATGAGCTACAAAACTGAGGATCTGGGCTAGGATCACCTTCCTCTGCTGCTCCACAACCAGCATGGAAAGAACCATGCCAGCTACTTCCCCAAAGCTGCATGATCGTTTTTAAGAAAGCAGTAAAGGGGATGCCCACAGGGGTGAGAGGGAGGAAGACCAGGATACAGTGTCTCTTGGCAATGCTCCAGCCTCCTTCCTTCTCTGTCCGAAGTGTTGAAGCTAGCCGAGATGTGCTGCCTAGCCAGCATGCAGAGCAGAAGGAGCTGGGTGGCAAAGATCTGCTCGGTGCTCCTTCTACCCTGAGTGGAATGCTCATAATCCCTTGGGTTTGTAAGTTTATGGGCATGCCAGGTGGATTGTACCTGTGGGGTTTACAAATATGCAGTATAGGTATATTATAAAGCAATACATCTATATAATCATTCCTGATGGGAAAGGTTTCCCACTGTACCCAGTCAAATACATGCTTGTTCTTTTATGTCAGGCCAGTGTAACTGCTTAGTTCAATTTCAGTCTAATAAATGTATCTAAGCAGAGAAGAAAAACTGACATATCATCCCAGATTATCTATAACATTATTTTAAAAAAACCAAAAACAAAATCTAACATACTGTTAATTATAATTCTAGAGATAGACTTCTTAGGGGAGGCACCAATGTTTTTATCAACTATGCTTTTTAAAAATACATATTGCATGGAAGCTTATCTACATAAAATTTTCATTCCTTGCTTGAAATGCAATTAAGCAACTGCTCCCTGCCCCATATCCCCACACCACATACATCAAACATTTTAAAATGCAGGCACTGAAGCTGATTTGCATTAGCAATGGTGCCAGAAAGATTTCATTCCAGTCTTGCCTTATAAGATGAACCTCCACAGGTGTCACTTTCATCAGATTTGCACAAATCACCTTCTCTGGCCGCAATCATGCCAGCAATGCAGCTGTTTTCCTTTAAATATGAGACACAACACTGCTTCTGAGAAATTCTGCAACAAACAGAACACAGGTTGCTTTCAAAAGGCAGGCTGCCACTCAAACGCCCGTATACTCTATGAATGGGGAAGCAGTAGTTCCCTTGTACGCAGCATCGGTCAGGCCACATCTGGATTACAGTATCCTGCTCCAGGCACCATAGTTTAAGAAAATACAGACAAACTGGAAAAGGATCAGATGCAACAAGGATGCTCAGCGGACAGGAAGCAAGGCCCTCTGTGGAAAGACTAGAGGAACTGCACATGTTTAGCCTTGAGGTGAGAAGATCAAGGGGAGAGATGATAACTCTTCAAGGACATGAAAGGTTGTCATACAGAGGGGGGCCACGATCTCTTCTTGAGCATCCCTGAGTGTAGGATATGGAATGATGGGCTCAAGTTACAGCTTGACATCAGGAAAAGCTTCCTGATTGTCAAAGTAAAATGACAATGGAATCAACTCTCTAGGGAGGTTGTGAGCTCGCCCACACTGGAGGCATTCAAGATGCAGCTGAACAGTCATCTTTTGCTTTCATCTGGAGTCCTGCAGTAAGCAGAGGCTTGGACCTGATAGCCTTATTAGTCCCTCTACCCTTCTTGGATGCTATGATGATGAATGGAGTAAACAACACCAGTTCTGTTTAACAGTTTTTCCAGTTCTGTTTAACAATGCACAATCATGTACCTAAACAATGTGAAATTTATCTGCACAGTTTCTGAGAAACAGTCATTTGCATTTAGTGAAGATTCTAAGCACTGCCCTGGATTTTTGACAAGCAAGACTGAAGGCACTAGCCTGCCCTTTCACAGCATAACATTTCTGCATTGTATGATACACGATAAACCAAAAGGTGGTTCCTGTACTTGGGAGAAAGCGCCTTAAAATCTGTGTGTGGCAGTGGTGTCACCTGCAAGTCAGATCATAACGCGCTCGTGGAATGTCCATCATACACCAGATTGTAAAGTGCAGGTTCTTGAGGGAGCTTTGGCTTGTTAGCTTTTGCTTTACATACCTGCAAATGTCACCATCAGTTCCACTTACAGGGATGTCGGTGCATTCATTATTATCAATTGCCCACTGTTGTCCAGCAGCACAGCAAGTTTCAATCAAATCTTTAGTTGAACCTGAAAAGTGGCAGACAAACACTTGATGAAAAATGTTTTGGTGATTAGACCAGACAAGTGGGACCAGGAACAAAATGGAGAGAGCCACCCAATAGAATGGCACAGAGCAGCATTTTGGGCAGTTTCTTTGCAACTGTAAATCTTTGCACTGAAGAATTCCTCAGCTCCCAAAATCTCAGATTTGGGAAAGCATTGCAAAAACTTTTTCAATTAGCCTAACATTCAGTTACCAAGCTGGAAGTTGACCAGTCATCCTAAGAAATGGAATCATTGAGTAGTGAGGTGCCGAAAAGACCATTCATCTTTTCTGAACACGTGCTTTGAGGACATTGTTTCTAAATTATCCAACATTGCTATAATATTTATACTTTAAACTCTTCAAGCAAGCCAATTTTGTGAATTCTATTAAATCCCCATATGAAATTACTTATCCTATAACTCTTGGAATAATATATTGTTTAGAACTTATTTATTTACTGGAATCAAACTATTTATTAATTGCAATTAACCTATTCTCCAAATTTCATACTTCTCCAAGTTGCCATGCAATTCTTAGAACAGTAAACAACAGGATGACTCCCATTTACATTGAAAACCAAAAGCTATCATCACAATGGTAATGCAATTCTTGGTAACCTATGAGTGAAATCGTATGCATGTTTAAGCAGGGAAAAGTCCTACATCTACCAGCATTCCTGTGGCAATATAGTGGGATTGCACCTTAAATGTATCAAAAATCCATATCAGAGGTCAGAACAATCCTATGGCCTTTCATTCTGACTCGAAAGCTGGGAATCCCTTTCTGGCAGCCCCTCCCTTGACAGCCAGTGCAGAAAGAACTGCACTAGCTGCTTCTCCACAGTCACAAAGCTGTTCAGCGTCTAGCAAGGTGACCTCAGAGAAGGGGATTAGTGACCATCCTGCAAGGCAGGAGGAGAGGAGACTGGACACCCCGCGGCTCCTTTCCTTCCCCTCTGAAGCTCTGCCCTTGGGCAACTGAAATCAGCACTCCAGCTACTCTGCATAGGATTCCTTGCCTCCTCCAAACTCAGATTTTGAGATTGCAACCTAAATATATCAAAATATATACTTAAATATCTATTTTGGAAGAAAAGCTACATCTGGGGTGCAACCTTAGGCAAGCTCAGGCAGAACACAGGCCTGCAGCTCTCAGAATGCCTCGGCCAGCCATGATTTCCTGAACATTTTAGTTTGACAGCCTTGCTTGATTCAACAGTCCCACTCCTGAGATCTGCCATAACATGGGAAACAGGATTGTTCTGCTTTCTTTAGGCCAGGAATAGGAGCGCCTCTTTCCCTCCCTAGATTTTCAGGAGAAGAAGGCTGCTACATTTGGAAATGGTATGATTTTGAACTCAGATATAAAAAGTAAAGAACTCTTTAGCTGTCATTGTGTGGTCAGAGATGCTCTTTACAGAATATTTAGAATGGCAGCTAAATTCAGGATCAGCAAGGACATCTACCTGCTTTGATGCTTACCAACTGCTCTGTGCATTATGCTTGGCAATAAACACTAATTAGTCCAGGGTGATGTCCCAACTTATACTGTGAACTTATAGACAGTGGAGGATACTATTTTTGTTCTCTTTGGCTTGTCAGCAGTCAGCCCCTGTGAGCTTTACTGCCAAGTTGCAAAGCAAGTCATTTTGCGTGAATTTTTAACAGCAGAAATCAGCAGTGAAAGCTCATCTCAATTGACCTGCCTGTCATAGCTGTGCTTTGCTGACAGGACTGGACTCTTCAATGAGCTGTTGGCATATCTCTCCTGTTAATTGGGCCGGTCATTTGGCATGCCGAAGGCTGTGGGCCGCAAGCCACTCCGTTCGGAGGCATCCCATTGACCTTTTGTACTAAGCCTGCACACTGAAGGTCTCCAGACAAGCAAAGTTCAGCTCTTCCACTTTTCCTCTTAATGGCATTATGGTCCCTGAGGAGTTGCCTCTGCATGGACTATGGTCAACATTTGGCTAATAGGTCTAGTTAGTACAAGACCCAGCAGTCTTATGTAACAGTACTCACTTGGCATTGATCAAGATTAGTGCTAATTCTCCTTACATCTTTGGTCAATATTAGCTCTTATCCATATCCTTTGCAGTAGGGAAAGTTAAATTGTATGGTGCTGTAAAAAGATCAGCCCTTTCTAACATGCCACGAGAGTCAGAGATTCTCCAGTTATCATAAGAAAAACAATGGGAAAAAGAAAAGACATGTTTATGTTGGAACAATGGCAAGAATAGAATCCAACTGGCAAAAAACCCAGCTCCATTTCTGAATGGAGCAAGGCTTTGCTTCTTGTGCCTCTCTGTCCTGGGCGGCGTTTGCAAATGAAGCTGCCTGTTGAATCCTGATTTCACATAAATAATATAGTTACAGACAGTGGACCTTTGGAGGAAAGCGGCGTTTTGGAAGGATGTTGCTATGAAATCTCTAGATATCAGTCTCAGCAGCAGGATCTAAGTCACAATGACTACCTCACTTGCAAGCAGATTTACTAAACATCTGCCCCCATGCAAGCAAGGGGGCATTAAAGAAAGAAGAGAACATCTCAGTATTTCTCCCCCATGAGTCTGACATAAAAGCAGACAGCTTGAATTCCCCTCATAAATCACTGTGGTCTCAAACTGGGGGACACATGTGCTTAACCAGAGGTAAGCCACTGATGTACTCACACATCGCTGTGCCAGGAAGGGGAATATCCCCAGTCGCAAGGAGCAGGCAAGGAAGCTTTTATTTAAGTGCTGAGGAAGAAAAATAAAACATCCAGCTCCTTTATCCAGAGAAATAAATAACCCCCTCACACATACACACTGCAATAATATGACACACACACATATATCTGTTTGTGCACATGCTTCATGAGGCATGGAAGGTTTGTGAAGGGGGTTGTGGAGGAGAATCTCATGATAGCAAGAGTGTAGATGAGCTGTGCTGCAAAGGCGCCTGGGATGCATGCTGGGAACTCCAGGGAGGGCACAGGTGACAACAGATCATGTCAAGGCAGCTTGCATGCTCCTCCGGCTTTCCATTTTATTTTCACATCCGATCTGGGAGGCAGGCCAGGCTGAGCTGGTGACTAGCTCAAAGTCATCCCGTGAACTTCATGGATGAACTGGGACTAGAACCCGGATCTCCCGAGACTCCAGCACCCTAACCGGCACACCACACTCTGGCCTTCCCATCCCTGGCCTCTTGTTGCCCCTATTGCAAAGGTGCCCCACAACTAGCCATTCCAGCTCGAGGACTGGTGTGTCCCCCAAGCCCTCTGCGACAGAGGTATGCGAGTCTAGTGCTTCAGAAGTCTTCCATTTCTACTTACTTGAAAAGAATTGTTCCTGTGTCACATAACCTACATTAAAGGCAGATAGGCAAAAAAATCGTATGCTTCAATGCATCTTTGCTCATACATAATGCATGGGACAGTTTATATATAGGGCTCCGCATCTTTTCCCTATTCCTTCTCAAGCCATTGCTGCATCTCCTTCCAAATGCATGCTTTCATACATTGCTTCCCCGTACAATATCCCTTTCTGTTCTTTGCTTCCAATAATGCTCTCTTTTGTTCATAGTTTAATTTTTGTTTCATAAATTCCTTGGCTTGGTTTTCCAGAATTGGCCCCTTTTTTGAGTTAGTGTGCCAAAATACAAATTGAAAAAACTGAATAAACAGCACCATCTCCCCACCCATGCACATATATACATATGACCAGCAGCCTGGCTCAGTCACCAATTCAAATGGAGACTGTAGCCAAGAATTCAAAGACTGAGACTTGGAAGGACAGCAATGAAGGAACTAGAAAAGATCATCAAGTGTAAGGATGTTTCATTGAAAGCCAAGGCCAAAATCATCTACACCGTTGTATTCCTGATCAGTATGTATGAGTGTGAAAGCTGGACAGTCAGGAAGAAAATTGATGTGTTCAAACATGGTGCTGGAGGAGAACTTTGCGAATACCCTGCACCAACAGAAAGACAAACAAGTAAGCCCAAGCTCAAATTAAGCCAGAACATGACAAAACTGAGGTTATCATACTTTGGGCAAATCATAAAAAGGGAAGACTCTTTGGAGAAGACAATCACGCTAAGGAAAACTGAAGGCAGACGAAGACAAGGGAGACCAGCTATGAGATGGAACAGTTCCATAACAGAAGCCACGGCCTTGAGTTGGCAAGAGCTGAGTGGACTGTGAGGGATGGGACATTTGGGAGACTTCCATGCAGAGAGTCCCCATAAGCCAGACGCTCCTTGACAGCACATTTGAGTCGGCCCAAATTCTTTAACTTTGCTGCTAGCAAAACCAAACAGGCAAACCAATATTCCCTTTAGCCAGAGTGTTGGTGAGTCCTGCTTTGAACAATCTGGGACAGAGCTCAGCTCATTCAACATGCTTATCTATGGTTCCACAAGAGACCTGCCTATTAGCTCCAGGTTTCAGTGGAGGGAAAAAAATAGTTCTGCTGATGTTCAGTCATCCTTCAACCCTGAAGACTCCTCAGCCTTCCCCAAGTGAGTGCAGTCCAGATGTATTGGACTACAACTTCATTGATTGTGCTGGCTGGGCATGATAGGAGCTGTACTCCAACACATCTGCAGGTCATCAGGTTTAAGGAAAGCTAAATCAAATAAATTGCATTTTGTCTTGCCTCAATTTGTAAACTTGCTACAATTTTGGATGCCCAGTAAGCAAAGGAGTCTTCTTGGCTGTGTGTTTGTTTGTGTGTAATGCACAGACTCTGTTTCAGGACCACACATGAATATACTGCAGTGAAAGAAAGGTTGTCAGTCTGTACCTTTTTTATGATTATGAGACCCAATTTCCATAGAAAATCCCGATTTTTCACAATATTTCCAGTACTATGTTTCTGGTCAGGATGTCAGTCAGCATATTCAGCAAAATCATGAGGCAGTGCCTCTGGGAAGGCCAAAAGCAAGAGGGCAGGTGGATAAAACCTGTTCTCTCCTTCCCTCACATAAAATGCATG